TTGGCCATACTGACGTCTGCGCTACCTGGACACCCCAGGGCTGCTGTGGAGACCCTAGGTGTCCCCTGCTTCCTGGGGGGCATGTCTCGCGGGCTGCTGGGCCGCAACCATCCCCTCCATATCCGACAGAACCGCAGTGCTGCCCTGAAGAAAGCCGATGTTGTTGTGCTCGCAGGTGGGTTCAGTCTCCTCTCCTTCTCTTCCTTCAGCCCCGACCTTGCCCGTCCTCGTCTCTACCACCCTTCCTTCACGATCACTCATCTGTCTGTCTCTGCACCTACCCCTTCCCTTCTAAAGGCCATTGAACAAGCCTGAATACGCGAGCCAGCCGACCCACCCCAAACTGCAGCTCTGTGCTGTGACCTGGCTTCCCGGAGAGGGTGCATACCCTGGGGGCACTTGCTGTGCTGCACACATATTTTTACACAAAGCTTTTTGTGTCCCCTCAGGCACAAAACAGGGTGTGCCCTGTAAGCTTTTGCTCTGTACAGCTATGTACTGCTTAATGACAGAATGCATTCTGGGAAATGTGTCCCTAAGTGATTTTCTTGTGTGGATTTTCAGTGTGCATACACAACCCAGTGGGTGTCCCGGACAGTGCTGGGTCACGTCATTCACAAGCCCACAGTCATGTACATGAACTGTTACTGACTGAAACGCTGATAGGGCTGTAATGGTAGCCCATATCGAGTGGTTTATGATAAGTTTTTGATTGCTCATGTCTCACTAGCAGGTAGGTAAGAATTCTCTCTTTGGTTGGGCTCATACATGAACCAAAGGATGGTAAGAGGTGGGGTGTCTGTCTCTGTGGCTAATCTAGGTATGTCTTGGGGTTGGATAACAGAGTCTCCACATGTGCCCCTCACACCACTCCTCAAGGTCCATGGGTCCCCTGCCCTCAAGCCCCACTCTCCGAAGACCAGCCTGGTTAAGTCACATGCTTATTGGTTCCTCTTCCTCTTCCTCCTTCTCCTCCTCTTCTTCCTCCTCCTTCTCCTCTTCTTCTTCCTCCTTCTCCTCTTCTTCCTCCTCCTTCTCTTCTTCTTCTTCCTCCTCCTCTTCTTCCTTCTCCTCCTCCTTCTCCTCTTCCTTCTCTCCTCCTCCTCTTCCTTCTCTCCTCTTCCTCTTCCTTCTCCTCCTCCTGCTGCTTTCCTCTTCTTCTTTGTTAAGGCTAGAACCTGTAATCCCAGGACCTTGCACATGCTCAGCAAGTGTTCTGCTACTGAGCTACGTATACCCCAACCTTAATGGCCTCTTGAACCCTGTCTCAGTATGCCATACCATTGCTTTTGCCATGCTTGATCAGAACCACTCAAGAAGCCTGTCCAGAATCAAGAGCCACAAAATCATCCTGGCTAGATGGCTTAGTGAAAAAGTGGGTAAAAGTGCTTGTTGCCAAGTCTGATGAGCTGAGTTTGATCTTGGAACACATATAGGGGGAGGAGAAAATTGACCCCTGCATGCAACCCTCTCCCCCCAACGTAAACAGCTGTAAAGTCCCTGCACGTGGCACAAAGGAAGGGACGTAAAGAAAGGGGACTGTTGTACATTCAGTGTGCCGCAGTGAATCGAGGATGAGGTGGTGCCCATTGATGCCCTGCCTGTCACCCCAGGAGCCGTGTGTGATTTCCGCCTGTCTTATGGCCGTGTCCTCAACCGCAAGAGCAAAATCATCATCGTCAATCGGAACCGGGAGGAAATGTTGCTCAACTCAGACATCTTCTGGAAGCCCCAGGAGGCTGTGCAGGGTGAGCATACCCAGCAGTCCCCACCGTGTGCGGGCTCGCTCTTCATCTTGCCGCTGCTGTGGCTGGCTTGAACTGTGTCAGGTGTGGACCCTGTGCCAGGGGAGACACATCTGCCTGCAGGCTGATGGGCGCTTCCGAAAGAAGAGGGTGGGTTCGAGGGAGGTTTGGGGTTTTGCATGTGATCGACTTCTGCTGCTTTCCGCTGGACCGTGGTCCTTGAGCGTCTTCATTATTCTAGCTCTCCTGACTTTTGCTCCCTTTTCAAGTCAAACTCTGCCCGCTGTTCTATGGACCGGGACTCTCTTGTAATATGGGCATCAGGCTCCTTTCGATTTCTCCAGAGAAGCAGGACCACCTTGTGTGCTTGGGAAGATCTCTCCCAGAGGTGGTGGGCAGCAGGCTGAAGCGGGCAGGCTGGGGCAGGGAGGGGCTGGATGCCTGTGATTCCAGCTGCTCCATGTGTGTGGGGGGGGAGGGGGGACAGAAGCCGGATGATTATCTATTGGAGGTCTGTTGGTGTAACTTTCCTAGCAAGACCTATCTCAAAAGAGAAGAACCTGCAGTGCACTTGGGTAGCACACACAAACAAACAGCATCCTTGTTTGTTTGTGTCAAAAGAAGGTCTCGCCACGTAGCTCTGCCTGCCCTGCCCCCACCCCACAGAGCTCTGCCTGCCTCTGCCTTCGAGGGCAGGAGTTAAAGGAGTGTGCTGTGTACCAAGTGAGGGCCGAGCACACAGGTAACCCCGGGCCGGAAGCACACTGAGAGCTTGGGTCAAACTCTGGTTGAACAGTGAGTTTAAGGCTTTCCTGGGCTACAGTGTGATACCCTGCCAAAAAAAGGCCTGAGGGTGGGCATTTTTGCTACGTTTGGTGGCACAGGGCTTTTTAATCCTAGCACTGAGGAGGCAGAGGCAGATAGATTTCTGGGTTCAAGGCTAGCTTATGGTACATAGAGTTCCAGGTCAGCCAGTGCTTCATAGTGAGAGCCTATCTAAAAAAAAAAAAAAAAAAACAAAAAAACAGGGAACTAATAATAAGTAAAAAACACCACCAAAAGAGGGCTGAGCCCACATGATGGGAAGACTTCCACACTGTCAGTGTTGCTCATCCCAACCCCCAACACACACACACACACACACACACACACACACACACACACACACAGTAAATAAATGTAATACTTCTTTTTTTAGGTGCTGAAGTGTTTACCTGGGATGTTCCAGATTAGGGTTTGGTCCCCAGTACTGCAAATTTAATAGCTGGGGGAGGGGCAGGACAGAAATTACATGAGCTACTGTGAGGACAGATTGGGCAAGAAGCCACATCTCTGAATTTGTGTCTGTTCGTTTCTCAAGAGGGAGAGTGAGAAAGAAAACCATCACTCATTCAGTGCTTGCTACAAGTTCCCATGTGCTTGGGCTTGAAAGAGTTCCCTGGTGGGTGACAGATTTTGGAGGCAGAATTGCTGGGATGTGGTGCCTGCCGCTGAGACGTGAGAAGCAGGGAGGTAATGGGGCCAGCTTGGTCTTCCCTGCAAATCGTTTCCCAAGCCTCGCATTCCATCTTGCCAGGATCCCCTCACTGGTTCTCAGAGGCTCTTTGAGGGATTTCACCTGCTTTTTCCTAAGAACACCTCTGGCCCACTCCCCTGCTTTCTTCTCAGATGCTACTCTTAGCTCTGTTGTATCTGGACCTGGGATATTTGGAGCTGTTCCGTTTGGTGCTGGAAGGGCACGGGGAAGCTGCTGCCGTGCAGCTGGCCCTACAGCTGTGCCTTCTTCCTTTCCTAGGAGATGTGGGCTCTTTCATGATCAAGCTGGTGGAAGGCCTTCAGGGTCAGACATGGGCCTCCGATTGGGCTGAGGAGCTTCGGAAAGCCGACCAGCAGAAGGAGCAGACTTATCGGTCAGTCTGGGTGGAGTGGACATGGCAGCGGAAAGGAGTGGAGGGGACTGACCTCCTGCTGACCGTTGTCGTCCTGTTTCAGGGACAAGGCTTTAATGCCTGTATCCCAGCACCTGAACCCAGTGCGAGTGTTACAGCAGGTGGAGGACATTCTGCCTGACAACGCGCTTCTGGTGGTGGACGGTGGGGACTTCGTGGCCACTGCTGCCTACCTGGTGCAACCCCGAGGGCCCCTGCGCTGGCTCGACCCTGGTAAGGAGGGGCCCACACCTGCGGCAACTTGCACTACACGGACCGGTCACGGCAGTTTGCTCTTATCTTTCCAGGGGCCTTTGGGACTCTGGGAGTTGGCGCCGGTTTTGCACTTGGGGCCAAACTGTGTCAGCCAGATGCTGAGGTGAGGCATTGCATGTGGGGGACCCGCAGCCTTGTGGGCTGTGAACTACCCTAACTGCCCTGGGTCATCTCCCCACTACCCCAGGTCTGGTGTGTGTTTGGGGATGGAGCCTTTGGCTACAGCCTCATCGAGTTTGACACATTCGTCAGGCACAAGGTGACTGGGCTCTGCCCTGTGGGAAGCTTATGCCCAGAGTTCTGGGACACATCATCCAGGGTGGCCTGGGGGAGGGGGACTTCCTCAGTGGGCCACAGGCCTGTCTTGTGGCTGGTCAGACCTTTGGGTTGAAGGCTGCCGCCCCTCTTTTTTTTCCCCTACAGGTACCAGTGATGGCCCTGGTAGGGAATGATGCAGGGTGGACCCAGATTTCTAGGGAGCAGGTGCCCAGGCTGGGCAGTGACGTGGCCTGTAGCCTGGCTTACACTGGTGAGCAGTCAGGGGGCTCTGGCCCAGCTGGGCTTCTATTCCTCTCCTGGGGGACCCTCTGCTACTCTCCTTTTCTTTTAGATTATCACAAGGCAGCCATGGGCCTAGGGGCCCGGGGATTGATGCTGTCCCGGGACAATGCGGATCAAGTGGTCAAGGTACTGCGTGATGGCCAGCAGCTGTGCAGGGAGGGCCACGCAGTCGTTGTCAACATCCTGATCGGGAGGACAGATTTCAGAGATGGCTCCATTTCTGTATAGAGCCCATGGGTTCGTGTGCTTGCCTCCTTGTATCTGGACAATGCCTGGCCTATCTGGAGTGTTTTCTGGTCTGCTCTGAGCTTGTCTCACAAAGTCCAACAACCCTTCAACCCTCTGAGCGGGAAATGGAGGGACCAAAGCTCCAAGAGGCACCTTGGCAGCCGTGGGTGGCTCTTTCCATAGGCCCAGCTGGACCCTTTCTCCCTCTTATAAAATGAATAAACCTCTTGCCTACATGAGCCCAAGGACTCTGTCACAGAACTTGTGTATACTGGTTTATTTATTGTCCACAAAGATGGAAGTGGTGGAAAGAAGTGAGAGACAGGAAGGGGCCCTAACTCTCCCACTTGATCACTGGGGATTTTGGGGTGCCAGGAGATGGCAAATCCTATCCCGATCTATGGTCCCTGAAAGAGTTCCACATGCCCACTCCAGACAGGCCAGTGCACACGAATCCTCACACACACACACACACACACACACACATGCATGGAGGCAATAAATATTTTCCGTACCAAAGTGCCCCCAGCCTGATACCTCAGGTGGGGTCCCTCCAAAGGGGAGGGGCTAAGTGCTCAGTTTTTCGGGGTTGGGGGGCTACTGGGGAAAGCAAACATCAGATTCTGTCTCCATTTGCTGGATGGAGATTGATCGTGGGGTCCTCCCTAGAAGGGAGGGTTACAGGAAACCAGCTGTTTTTCTGTAAGCCCCAGCCTGCCCTTTCACAGATGGAGGCCAAGTCTAGGGCTGTTTCTCTTAAGCAGAACCTCGTGATTGTCCTTAGACACTTCAAGGGAGAGAGAGACCGCGTGTACTGCTCAATGCTAATACTGGTTTGGTTGGCAGCAGCAAGAGGGTTTGACTAGGGATGTCTCCACACCCCAGGGTGATGTCACAGTAATTGGTGTTCCCCTGCCAAGGGGAGGCAAGAGAGGCCAGCCTAGCAAGCACAACTGTCTCCAGCAGAAAGAGAAGCCCTAGTGGTCAGGAGAGGGGCCATGGCATGAGTGCTTAAAATGTCAAGAGCCTGCTCTTTGCAACTAGGGCCCAAACGATGGCACTAGGAGCTGGGAATGGTTCTCAGCATGGGAGGCTGGTCCCTTGGCAATTCTCTAGCAACCAGGAGCTCAGTCTGAGCAACTCTGGTCAGGTCCTTTTAGGTTTTCAGGGTACTGCCTTAGTAACTTGGAACCCAGTTACCAGTAATCAGAACCTGGTCCTTAGCAACCAAGAAGCAGTTCCTTAGTACCCAGGGCTCAGAGGCACACATTGATCTGCTTGGAGAGTTCTCTTTCCAGATCCAGGATGAGGGCATCAAAATCTTTGAGATTCAGATGTGGGTTGAAGGGTGCATCAAACTCATCTTCGAAGTCAGTAGTTCCCCTTGGCTCTCCGGTGTCGTCATCATCTTCTTCACTGTCACTGCCTGTCACGTGGTCATAGTCAGGCGCAGAGAGAAAGTCCCGCTCACGCGGCAGTAAATCTCGTCCACACACGCTCCAGTCGCCAGCATAGCGGTTGCTTGGGGGACTTTCAGGGCCTCCGCGGCCTCGGGGCCGAGTCACAACTTCCGGGCCTGCCAGCGGCAAGTGAGGCGGTGGTTGTCGTTTGGGCCGCAAATATGGCGCATCTTCCGGGGCCTCTGGGGGGCGGCGGATATCTGTGGGGTCCACAGGGAGGGCTGTGAGTTGCCATGTGAGGGAGCGGCATCTAGGTCCCTGACTGACAAGCTTACAAGTCGAACTCCCCCGAGCTGTGTGGGCCTCCTCAGATCCCAGCCCATGACTGGCCAGTGGGGAAGCATATTTATGGTAAGGGAGGCTGACGGGGCTGGGCTGTGTTCACCTGGCCAAGACTGTAACAGGTAATGCAGGACCTCAATGTGGCGCTTGAAGTCCACCGCGCTGGTGACTCCTGGGCCGGAACTCCGGAGCCGGGGCCAGGCGGGCGTCTGTCTCGCTGGCAGCAGCACCGGGCCAAAGCACACTGCCAGGTTCTGGGGGGTCATGCGGTTGTGGGTGTGGAAGGAGGAGACAAGGCGCAGGTGGTCCAGGAGAAGGGTCAGGGTGGCCTGTTGAGAGGGTCACCAGGGTGAGCGCAAGGCCGGCAACCCTGAGCCCTTGTTACACTTTGGGGACTCTCAGGGGTGCCTTATCGCAGAGGAACTTCGGGGTTCAGGGTCTGATAGACATAGGGGAGACGCTCGCATTAGGAATGCGCTTTGCTGAAGTTGAGATTTACGATAACAGCAACTTAGCTTCCGCATGAAGAGGCTTGAACTCCAACCCACTTTTGTTAGGCAACAGGAACATGAATTTTACCTCACAGACAAACAAAAACACAGAGCTTCAAGGAGGTCTCGAAGATCTCACAGCTAGGAATTTTGCTTGTGTTAGGTTGGCGGACCTGTTTGCTCAGTTTGCTACGCAGCCCAGCCTGGCTTAGAACTAGCTATGTGGCTCAGGCTGGCCTCCAAGTTGAAATCTGCTTGCCTTTGACTCTTGAGTGCTAGGAGTAGACCATGTGCCTCTACATGTGCCTGGCTAGAGTGTGTGTTTTGGATAAATCTTGGCTGTTTGACTAACCTGGGCCTTGATTTCCTAATTGACAGGTGAACACCACATGCTTTTGTTGGGATGTGACGATCGTGTTTGATGATTACATCTCAGCCACGTTTAGTTAAATCGCTCCACTGCTACCACCTGCTATCTGTGTCCCAAGTCTCCCAGCACAGCCAACTTACCCTCTCCACGTCTGGCAGGCAGCTGAGGAGCCCTCTGGTGCCCTCGGGACCCAGGGAAGCCCTGCTTGGGTGCCCCTGGGCCATGGCCTCTAGCACCACCTGATATAGGGGCTGGGTGATGAGTGGAGTGGGCAGCTCCCGGAGATAATCCTTGAGGATGCCTGTGGACAGAGGGTCGCCTCTGGTTAAGACATCCTGGCTTCTGAAGCCAGAGGGGTCACTGGTGCTTCCAGTGGTGGTGGGAAGAAGGCAGGCCTAGGACATGGAAACACCATCAGCCAGGGCAGACGAGGTTTCACTGGGGCCTCCCTGCTGGCCTGGGGGTGGCCGTGAAAGGAATGGGCAGGCAAGGGAGAGATGCCACACTGACCTGTGATGACATTGATATCGGGGTACACATCTTCAGAGAGGCACACGGCTGCGCTGTCCTGCTCAAAGGCATCCCGAAGCTCCTTCTTCACCGCCGCCGAGCCGCACAGGCGGTACAGCCCCACTACCTGGGGACAGGGCCGGAAGGAATGTCCCCCTGGGGCCACAGACAGCAGATCCGCCGGGTTGGGGCTGGATGTCTGGACAAGGGTGACTGGAGGGTGGGGCCGTGCAAACGCATCTTCACTGGCTCCCTTCCCACTGCTGGAACAACTGTCACAGTGCCCCTGGCCCACTCCTAGTACTTGAGCACTCTGAGGCCACGGCAGGAAGGTCACCCGGGCTATAGGCTAGAGTGTGTTGAAGGGGAGCCTGTCTCAAAACTAAAATGAAGGCTAAGGGTAGAGCTCAACGGTAAAAATGCTTGCTGATCGTGCATGACACCCTGAGGTCAATCCCCAGCACCAGGGGAAAAACCCCAACTCCAGACACATAACCTCGCTCTCTGAATCCCTGAGTGTGGACCACCTGTCCTGAGTCCCTTCCCTCTGACTTTACAGTTCACACCTTCCAGGAAGCCTTCTCTTACTAACCTGAGCAAGTCAGGGCCTGTTTTCAGCTGTCCCAGACCTCTCCTCCTCTCCGGTTTTTCTGAAACTGGTGTGTGCCACCACACTAGGATGCCTCCTTTCTGAACTCCCCTCCCAGCTAGCGGAACATTTGTGAACTGTCAGTCATTTCCAAAAGACTGAGCTCCGTGCGCACTGAAATCATGTAATAGACTGGACAGATGGTCTGTGGGTCCTGGCACTACAGGGAAGGATCTCTTTTCCCTGAGGTGAGTGTTGGACCCCAGAGCAGCTCAGGTTGGTGAAGGGTCACAGCGAAGGGGTCTAAGGCAGCAGGAGTCGGGGCAAGGGCTCACCCGCAGGCCTCGGCGCTCGATCTGCCCCACACACTTCCGGATGATGAGAGGCACCTGGCCTGGGGACCGCTCGCGTTCTACCAGCAGCTGCAGCGGGAGGCCAAAGACCCGGGGCCCGGCTGGGAGAGGGGCTTCTTGCTGTTCTGACAGAGTTAGCTTGGCGTACAGAAGCCCCTGGGGTTCCAGGCGAACAGCCAGCTGTTGGGCTTGGCACCCTAAAGATGCGAGGAGGACTGAGCCAATTCTGTCTCCAAGGTTCTGACACCCTACACTCATGAAGCCCAGACCCCACGGGGCTGTGGGAGAAGGTGCCCTAAGCTGGGTCTTGTGTCCTGCCCTTCCTTCCCAGAAGTCCCATGTCTTACCTCGAAAGACGGTTGGCAGCAGCACAGTGCCCTGGGCACAGGGCCGGTGCCGCCTCACACCTGGGTCCCACGCAAGGACCAGGGCCCGCAGCAGCCGAGCAGCTTCCAGCTCCAGGTGGAAGGTGTGGTCCAGCCTCAGGAAGTCTGGTCCACCCCGCAGGGGCCCCGTGCGCGCCCGAGCTACCCCATCCACTTGCAGAAGGCAGCAGAGATCTCGAGGAGCGGCCGCCGGAGTCGGACGCAGGCCCCTCAGCCCATACAGGTGCAGGCTGAGACGCCCCCAGAGTGCAGCCGGAGGCGCGCGGGCTGACGGTCCCACCTCATACGGCCGGAAGGCAGCGGGTGAGGGTGGTCCCCCAGGACGCTCCGGCGAATCGCCGTCGCTGAGGTACCCACCCCTTGGGCTCCGCGTGCCTCCAGCCACTGATGCCTGCCCAGGGGTCCCTACGCTGCTGTCCAGGTGGTAGCGGCTGATGACAGAGCCTGCTGGGGCGCTCCTCTCTCGCTCCCGCTCCCGGCTGGTGCGGGTACCTCGGAGGCTCAGGCGGCGCCGCAGCTCCGGCAGCTTCTTCATCTTCATAGAGAGCCGCCTGGCAGGGCCTGGGGACTTGGTGCGGGATGTTTTGGTAGGGGTGCTGGCAGGGGCTGCAGCTGTCGGGAGAGCAAACATCAGGGGCCTGGGCCTGGACCTGGGCTAGGAGGCTTGGGCACACCTGGGCTCTGGGGTGTGAGGCTTGTACATGCTCGCAGGTGCGACTGTGACAGTAAAACGCTCTGCGCCTACCTTGGGTGACTGGGCCTTCTGGCTCGGAGGCGGCTGGCTGTGACCCCAAGGGCTCAGGTGCTGGTAGTCTGGGGTCTTCTTCGGGGATAGGGTTATACCAAATCTCACCAGCAGGCTCCCCACTGCCGGACGTCCCAGGCCCCAGAGAGATCTCCTCAGGCGGCTTGGCCCCACCTAGCACCCACCGGCGGCTGCTGGGTTCCAGGCTCTGCAGGTAGGCTCCCCGGGCAGGGCTGCGAGGTGCCTCAGGGCTGGGGGGTCCCTCTGCTCCAGCCTGGGACCCTTCAAGGACCTGCAGCTCCGGTTCTGGGGACTTGGGCTCTGAGGGCTGGGCTGGGCGGCCTGGCGGAAAACGAAGAGACCCCAACTCTCAAGTCCCCGGATCCGCCTCAGTCCAGGGCAGCAGGTCCAGCTAGTTGGCTTCAGCCCTCACTGACAGCAAGGAAGCACTTTATCATCCTGGGCCTAAGTCATGTCCCTAGCCGATGCCTCCCCAGTCCCTAGTTTGGGGGTCTCCTGCCCCTGCCCCTAGCATTCCAAGGGGGACCATGAATCAGCCTCAAGAGTCCAGGTCAGCTGTCCCTGGGACCTCGGGTCCCTTTGGCTGTCGCCCCTCTTCCAGACCGCTCATTAATACTGGTGCAGAGTCGTACATCTTCCCCGTCGCATCGAGTGGTCGCTGAGCAGTCTTGAGCAAGTCATTTCCCTGATGCTCCATGTCTAGATTCTCTATCCCCTTGGCAGGAGCTCAGTGTGAGAAGCAGTTTTAAACAATGGGGTTTGCAGCCCTGCTCCTGAGCCCCAGCGGACGATGCTGGACTGAGGCAGGACAGGAAACGTGACAAGGAGTGCTGGTTTCCCCCCTGCCACTCTCCAAACTCGGCTCCAAGGCCCTCCTGGACCGTGCTCAGCCCAGGCCAGATTCCTACAGTCAGTACCTCGTACACCACCCCACCTCCCCGTCTTGGCTCCATTCTCTCCCTGACATCATGGTTGATTTCCTGTGTGTGTTTATGTGTGGGCACCCGGGTCCCTTCTCTGGCCCTGGGAAACTTGGGACTCACTGGGAAAGGCCAGGGAGGAAACAGCCCATGGGGTGGTGGCCTCCCTCTTTGACCCGGTTCCTTCCCAGGCCCCCTACCCATACAGCTCTCATTTCTCTAAGGGTCTGTCTGTCCGTCTGTAGACTCCCCAGACTGAAGCATCCATTTCCACCCCTAGCACTCTGCTTCAGGTCTCTGTCATCACCACAGTTCAAAGGACAGGCCCTGGACAGGCCACCCAACCTCCACGTCGGTTTCCCTGTCTGAATGAAGAGGGCAGTTTCTTGCGGCCGCCCGCAGTAGGTGCGACGGCCACGGCCCGGAGGTAGGAAAAGGCTGCAGTAACCGACACTACCCGCACCACCTCCGCCGGCCGCAGCCGCGCGCCCCCTCCTGGCATCCCGCAGGGCTCTGGTGCCCGCCGCCGGGACAGCCCGTTTCCATTCCGCACAGCTGGTCCCCCAACCACCCCCCGGGCTCCCGTCCAGGCCCCGTTTCCTGTCCCAGGCGCGCCCCCCCCTCCGCCCTCCGCGCCGGGCCTCGCGAGGAACCCACGGGAATGGCACCTCGGGCCGACCGCACATAACGGTCCGCAGACCCCGCCTCGCAGAGGTCCGGCGCACACTTCTCTCCCGCATCGGAGCTGCGTCCCGGCTCAGCCCCTGGGTCCCGCTGCGCACCCTACGGGGGACCCGGGGACCTCAGGCCGGGCGGCGCGCCCGTCTCCCCGTCTCCGCGAGCCCCCGCGCTCACCGCGATCCTTGGCGTCGGACTTTTTCCGAGGAAGTTTCTCCCGGCCCCGCAGGCGGGAGAAGGTCTTCCTGAGCAGCGGCTCGGCCATGCTGGGGCCGCGGCCCGGCCGAGTGCGCGCCCCGGGGCTGCGGCCGCCCGCCCCCCGGCCCGCGCCAGCAGGAAGCGCATTCCGGGAATGCTTGGCCTTAACTTTTTTTTTTTTTTTTTTTTTTTCTTTTCCCTTCCCGCGGCCGGAGCAGGCGATGCTGGGAGATGTAGTCGCCTGGGGCCGGGAGGGGCCGGGAGCGGGGTCCGGACCGAGGAGCCCCTCTTCACCTACGGAGCTCACGGCACAGGCTGGGGCCTTCCTAACCATCCTCCTGCGTGGTGGCACGCAGCAAATTGTTGGCCCTCCGAAAGACGCGTCCCGGGTACTCGTAACCTCACGCCTCTCCTCCCGTCCCGTCCGTCGAGCCCCCACCTCACCCAGTACCCCGCCCACGACCCTGCCTCGATCACCCCATTCTTTGCCCCACACCGCTCCGTCCCAATCCTCTCACTCCCCAACTCTAGCCACTACAGCGGGTCCTCAGGCTGAGTGGGGTCGGACAGCCGCGATGCTGTCGGCTGCTTTCGGGTCAGGAAAGGGGCCCGGTAGAGCCGACCTCGTCGGCGGCAGCGCTGACGGCCAGGGGACGGGGACTCGAAACCGGGTGGTCTGGAGGCACATGCAGGCGGAGGGTGCGTTAGCACTTTTTAATTAGTAATGAAACACCCGAAGCTGGACAACTTTATAAAGCGGATTAGAGTTCACAGCTCTGAAGGTCCAAGGCGAAGTACGCTAGCATAGCCCTGGCTCGGTGACGTCCTCGAAGCCGATGACGTCACAGCGGTGCCTCTCGAGACCGGACGACAGAAAGAAAATCTAGGTTTGGGCTCATTCTCACAGCTAGACTTTCAGTTGTATCTGCCTTTGTTTTATGTCCGCCGGTGTTTTGTTTGCGCGCATGTCAGTGTGAGGATGAGTTACGGGAAGCTGGGAGCTGCCGTGTGAGCGCTGGGTTCTGGGGTCGCAGCCAGTGCCCTTCACCCCTCGCTGCCGAGCCAGTGTAGGGGCGCGTGTGTGCCTCTGCGCGCGTCACATAGGTCTGGGTGCCCACAGAAGCCAGGGGAATCAGGTCCCGCTGGAGCTGGACTTACAGGCGATTGCGAACCACCTGACGTGGGTGCTGGGAACAGAACCTGGGTCCTCGGGAAGAGCGACAGGCACTTTATCTTCTGGAGCTCCCTCCAGCCCCACAAAGCAACTTTTGCAAGAGCTAGTTTGGTCTCAAGGGAGCTATCTTCCGAAGGCAGCTCCCCCTGACGGGCCCTCTTCACCATGCTCAGCCTGTTATCAGGGCCATACGGAGGGCTAAACTTTGAACACATGAACTCTGGCACAAACCGTATCTAAGCCAAAGCTCAGGTGTTTTCACTGGTGCCAGTCACAGGCTGATCTCCACTGGGACAGTGTTTGTCTTTGGTTTCCTCCCAGTTGGGGAGCTTTGGCATAACTGGATTTCTTAGGCGGTTATGCAGGGCTCGAAAAGTTAACAGGGCGGGGTGTTGGAAGACATGCCGAGCTGGGTTTGTCCAGGTGGAGGGAGGGGGAGAGCCTGTGGTGACGCAATGTTATGAAAAGACCTCTTAGGTGCTAAGAGACTGGAACGTCTGCCCGACCTCACAGCCAGAGTTAATAACACGCCTTGAGGTCACTTAAGACTGCTATCCTGTGTACTCCGCCTGTTTGTTTAACTTGCCAGGAAGAGAACAATGCAGCAATCAACTTCACTTGCCTTGGCTTTCCCGTGTAATCAACTTCTTACAGCCCCATGTAAAACATAGCTGCAGTGTTAAATTATGTACTCTTCTGTGCCCGGGAATCAGAATTGCATATGAAAGCAGCAAATACAGAAGTTAAAGTGACTTCCTAAAATCTGCCCGAAAGGCTGAAAGCAACCTCTTTTGGATAGCAGTTGATAAACAGCTATGCTGGTTCTCCGGGTCAGTTAAGATCAAGTGGAGCAAGCAGCTTAATCCCCGTTGATTTCTGTAAGTTTCCATTCCTTTCCCATTGATGCTTCTGTGCTGTTTAACACACACAGAGCTCATACGACACAGGGTCAGAACAGAGAGACACAGATGTAGATGCAGGCACACATTCAGACTCATGCCACACAAAGAGGCCTGAAGACAAAGCATTACACGGGGACTTCAAATGTGGGTTCAATGACTCCAGGGGGAAGTGCTTTTGTTTCTTTAATGTGACACAGGTGCATCATCGGTAACCTGGGAGCTCATCACTGATGAGTGCGATCTGGCCAGGAGACAGTGTTGCGGCCACCTTAAGAAATAAAACCTGCTTCCCACCCATGTTTCATTCTCTATTCAGTACCAGAGGTGGACTTAGAACTCAAGTCAGACAAAGTCTTTTCAATGCTCACCCCCACCAATAGGAAAAAGGTCTAGATTGCCACACACCCTACACAAATTCTCTGGCCCCACTGAAGTGGTTGGTGAAACCTTTCCCCATGTCCAACAAAGTTCTTGTCCCACCCACCTCTTAGAGTACAAGGGGGAGGAGGTGCTTCCTCGTCCATTTGGGATTACCAACTTTTAATGGGTTAAACTTTAAACATCAAGATTTAGATGAAACCGTAAGCACCAGCCAAGAACAGTCCTTTTCGGTGAGAGTCTGCCCAGCGCTGACAGCCATTCTCAAAGCTGAGGCCACAGATCTCCAAAGATGCAGGTCTAGAAGCCTGAAGCACTCTGGGAACGGTGGGTCTTAGAGGCCAGAAGCAGCTTCAGGGGAGAACTCCCTTTTGCAGGCTGTCTATGTGAAAAGTCTGGATGGCTGAGTCAGAGTCTGACTCAGAACTGTCTCTGTGCCAGCAGCCACTGGCTGAGTCCTGGAGATTAGCTTGAGCGAAGAAGCCCCAGGCACAGGGAGTCGCCGATGAGTCCGTCCAGGTGAGTTTAGACTCCCCTGAAGTCTGAAGAGGGCCTGAACATCAGGGGATGGGTTTCCAGGTGGAGCTAGGAAAGTGAAGTCTTTTCTTCCTCCATTGGTTTCTGCAGCTGCTCCAGCTTTACAGTTCCCAAATGCCCAGATTTACACAGATGCCAGCTGCATGTAAAGGAGGGCATGTAAGTAAGGTGGAAGAAATGGGACCAACTAATCTGTCAGACCTGAGGTAGAAAGACAGAAGAATCCTAAGCCAGCCAAAAGTTGTCAGAAGTTCATGATCAGGTCTGTAGTCTCTGTCATACCTGCAGAGGCAGAGAAATCACGAATAAAGTTTCTGCCCAGTCCTGGTTAGTACTTTGACCTTTGCAGGCAACCTGCTGCTTTCTTCAGGCAGGTATTTCCTTCTACCAGCTTGGTTTTGTTTGTGAGTGTGTGTGTGTGTGTGTGTGTGTGTGTGTGTGTGTGTGTGTGTTGGAGGGATAGTAGGGGGGTGGTTGCTACTGCAGATAGCAGCTCCTCTGCCCTCAAGACTCAAGCCTGCCAGCTGTCAGAAGCTCTGTATCTGGGGGGTCCTTCCTGTCCCTAACTCTCTCTGGCATGGGCTTCACTTACTATAGCTTCAGTTTGAGTCTTCCTGTTGTGTTTCTATGTCTTCCAAATTGAAGTTTTCCTGGAGTCAAGCTAGATAAGACTCAGGCAGTAAACACACTTGGCTCAGGAAGTTCTTGAATCTTACAAGATTCACCAGGCCTCTCCCCAGGGTTATACAAGCAGTAACAATTGCTAAAAAGGGGCTTCCTGAGTGAGTTTTAATGAGTTTCTCTCTAGGATATAACAGATGTAACTCAGTGAGAGAGTGCTTGCCTAGTATGGGTAAGACCCTGGTTTGATTCTAAGCACTGTGAAAAAAATAAACTGTCAAATTCTGTGGATTCCTCTATTGTGTCATCAAGCAGGTTCTGTGGGACTTCTAAACACAGGTTCACGTAGATGCAAAGATCTGCCCAACTTAGTAGAAGTCCCAGAAAAATGGACATTTGGTAGTTAGAACTTCCATGGAACACCTCCCCAAGACAAAGCTTTAGTGAACTCTTCTCAGGGTCTGCTGGAAGTGGCTTTCTGGTCACTCTCTTCAACTTCATCATTTTTGGGTCTCTCCCTCCTAGGGGTAGCCCTAAGCTATCCCAAGGTACAGATGTTGCCCACATAAGTGGCTACCAGCTTCTAGTAGGGTGTATGTGTGGGGGTTCACATCAACTTGAATTAGAATCCTCCAGGTCTTTGATCTGGCCTGTGGTCTTGGGGCCGTCGTGTTAGCTTTGTGAGACTCAGTGCCCAAAGCTCCAAGATCTTGAGTCACTTAGTGAAATCCCACAAGGAACGTGTTGTGTAGTATTTTTCCATTGTATTGAAACATTATATCCTGTAAAGAAGTTCATTAAGATTCAGGAAGAAAAATGCTCATAAATCTCGGGAAATACCTGAAACTTACCAGGTGCAAAAGGCTTCTGCCTCCCCTCAAATGATGTAAGAGTAAGGACTGCCAAGGAAAGCAGACTTTTCAAACCTGTTGAGTTAACTGTAAGTCCCACAGAGAGCTCCAGGGTCTGTCTCTTTGAGTAATTATTCATGCTAGGGTAGGCTTTCAGTAATGCCTTAAAATTGTCCATGTTCTGTTAAAGTCATTTTTACAAAACCGAATTTGCTTCTCTTTAGTTTTTCTCTAAACCCGGCTATCACACAAATAATTGAGACTTTTATATTTGTTTAATAATGAGCTTCACAACACAAGAATTGAGCAGTTATTACTCTATTCTTAACCCTCTAAGCTAATTTGGCTTCCTCCCAGCATGTATCCTAGCAATACTTGCACTTTGTAGCTTTCATGCTCCAGCACCTTTCTCCTGATGTCACCTAGACCTCTCCCATTGCTGAATCCCCTACTTCCTCCCCTAACTCCTCCTCCGGCAGGAAGTTCATCCCTCTTCTCTCCCCTCCTCAGTGATTGGTTGTAAGCTGCTTTATTGGCATACCAGAGGACAACTGGGAGCAGTGTTTAGACAACACTAAGACAGAAAGTTCTCAGAACAAGGACTGCAACCAGATAGTGGAGGGGGCAGGGTACAGAAATCAGCATTTGCTTTACACAGCAAC